TAAAACAGTGCATCTTTAGCTTAAATTTTGTATTATTAGTTTGGCATCTACATATGTGTGTGGTTTTTGATTGATTGCTTGAATTAGATGGTTTGATTCTTGGTCTAAAGAAACTAACAAAATGCATAGGAAAACAAAGTGCAATAGCTCATATCTTTGTCAGATTGATTCAATTCAGTTACATTAATAGTATTGGGTAATAGTAAAATGAATGTATACTGTCTTTTGGGTATAAACAGGACAGTTTCATGATTTCATTGTAAATTTTATCATTTTTACTTGAATAATCAAATGAAATTGGGAAGTTTGAACTAAAAAGTTTTGTGGATGGGGCTGTTTTTGTTGAGTATTGCTCATTTGGGACATTTAATTTTGTTTTTGCATGTAATCTTTGTTATTAAGTGATTTTGAATAGAGCTTCAATTTCAATTGAGTTGTTAATAGTTGTTGATTCACTTCCTCCCTCTCTCAACTAAATCTCAATTTGCTTTTTAATTTTTAATTTTTATACTGGTTTGGTTTTGGATTTAGTTTGTGTGGAATTCAAAATAGAAAATTGTTATTTTTTTAAGTTAAGTTGAAGGTGTGAGATGTTGTGGTGATGACTGAAATTTGGTTTTGGAGTACTTGCCACCATTGACTGAATTTCATCATAACTTTTCAAGCATTTTATACTACTGATTTGGTTTCATTTGTGGGTTTTTGATTAGATTACGTTTTTTATATAAGCGTGATAATGCTAATTACATTTTTTTTAACTTAAACACAGAATCATATTTGAACTATTATTTTTTCCCAAGTGGATTTGGCATAATTGGTAGTTTTGCCCACTTTCCTAAATTGTGGAATTTACGTTTTTATCATTAAGTTGATCGTTAAATTGTAATTTGTGAACTTTATCATTTCTTCTTCCAAAATTTTCTTTGTTAACATCTAGGCGATGACACTGGATGTTCAGTTCAAATATCAGTTCAATTTTTAATTTGTAGTTCCTAATGTGCCATTATGGAGCAACAAGAAGATTTCAGAAAAATTATGGAGTAACAACCATTTGGGTGCTTTTTGAATGGCTAAGTTCTCTCTCTCTCTCTCTCTCATGTAACATCAGCCACCGAAATTGAAGTTGGGTTGATGTTTATAAGTTTGATGTAGAGGAATTAATGATGTTGACATGCCCAATAGCCACTGCACCCACTTAGTCTTTCCTCTTTGCTGGTATGTAAGCACTACTTCCTCAAATGGCTCTTCTTAAAATACCACTCTCTACTCTTTAAAATTCTCTTATTTATTTTATTTTTTTCCCTTCTATTGTTTATTTTCATCACTTGAATTACAGGCTGTTAGGTGATGGAATATACAAGTGGGTGACATGGATTGCACAAGTGGGAGACAACGCGTATCTAACGTAAAAAGCCTTTTCTTTTTACTGTCATTCCTTCTTTAAATACTATAAATGCATACACATATGTATGCGTATAATGTAATGGATAGAATGAGTATGTAATGGATATAATGAATTTATTTAACGTGAAAAGATCTAATGGCTCCATTTGAAAGATATTTGTTTGTGAGACTATAGTTCCCTTTGAAAGATCAACTGGATTTGCAAATGGATCTTTTGATATTTTTCAAGCATCATGCATTTATGGTGGTCTACTACTGGCAATAAGAAATAATCAGATCTAAAATGCATATAGAGATGTTGAACCAAGTTTAAAGTGAGACTACACTTGAGGCTATACATATAGAATGCATGATTATTTTCTTTTTAGTTTCAAATTAATTCATGAACTATATGTATTAAGTAAATCTCTCTTGATTTCATATTGTAATTACAAAGTAAAAGGACAACGGAATTAAAAATGAAGAATTATTAATATGAAGAATTATTAAAAATGAAGAATTATGTGTATACTAAAAGTTTCGTATACATTATGACACGAAGTTTAACCTTGAATATGAAGAATTATTAATGGATTGAATAGATCATAACTACAATGTGGTGAATTTTTACCAGTATGGAAGCGCTACATTAGTTTGTCTTAACTTTTATTTTTCATTGGTCAAAAGTGTATTAACTTGAATGTGATTTTTTTTTTTTTTTAAACTTGGAGTGCCGTAGGCACGGGTCATCCACTGGTAACAAATATTACAAAATACAAAAATTTATATTTAATTTCACATTTCATTGTATTCTATACAATTTTTTTTAAATTTTTTTATGCTACTTTTAAACAATAGGCAATAGGCAATAGGCAATAGGCAGAGTCTATGAGGAATAGGGTTGTAGAGTGTACGGCCTGTTACATCTATTCACATTACATAAAGAATAAAATTTGAAAAATAAACAAAAAAATTGATTTTGAAAACCTTCCCTGAATAACCAAACAGAAACGGTAAGGTTGTGTCTGGTTAACTTCTCTAAGGCCCTGTTTAATTGGGGGATATGAACATTGGGATTAGATATCATATTTGGTGGAATTCATTTATTTTATGTTTGTAATTTTTTTTTAAAGGGGATATAATATCCAGTGGGATTGTATATCCCTCAAAAGTGGAGGATATACAATACCACCCCCCATTATATCATATTCCCTTGGTTGGGATATGATGTAAAAAGTTCAATTTACCCTTTTATCTATCTAATATAATATAATTTAATATATTTTTTTGAATTTAATATAATATAATTATTGAATTTAATTTAATATTATTGAATTTAATATAATATAAATATTATTGAATTTAATTTAATATAATATAATATTATTTAATTTAATTTAATTTAATATAATATAATTTAAATTCAAAATTTATATTAAATTAATGAGATCAATAATAATATTCTAATTAATATTAATAAATTAATTAATATATTAATTAGTCCGTCCAGCACCACCCAATCCAATTACCCGACTCAACAGTCAAAATTACACTCCACTACCACGCTATTTTTTTGACCTCCTTATTAGCCAGTTTATATCTCTTAAGGTTTTCCTCAGTTCTATCCTTCTGCCACTTTTTAAAGTACTCTTTTTTTACCTTAACAACCGCTTAAACCTCTGTCCTCCACCACCACCAAGTTTCCCTAGAGCTGGGTCTTATCCCTTTTGACTCTTTAAGCACTTCCCTTGAGATTCTCCTCATACAATAGGCCATCGAGTTCCACATAGTGTTAGCATCATCTTCCAAGTCCCAAATACCTTCTTTATTGCTATCCAATACCTATATCCTATTCATTATATATCCTGACTAAATCCCACATCATATTATATATTCCATTTTATATCCAGTGAAACAAGCGGGGCCTAAAGATATTTTTATTCCTTATTTTAAGTAACTTATTTGTTTAAAGTTTTTAAAAATTAATTTCACACCAATTTTTAAAAACTCTTTTAAAAGAGGAAAAATTTAGACTAACTAATCGTCCTTTCAGACATTTGACTGATTGATCGGGACAGTATTATTTTTTTTATAATTGGCACCTGTAATTTTTTATATTTTAAATAAAAAAATTTTGGAATTTTTAAATTTTTTTTTATGAATTTTGAATAGAATTTTGAGTTTTATGTTTAGTTATGAGTTGTAAGTTTTGTATCAAATATCATATACCACATCAAAAATCTCAAAACTCCTTTCAAAACTCTTTTCAAAACTCATAACCAAAAAAATTTTTAACACTCAAATCATAATTTTAAAACTCACAAATTCAAAATATAACTCTATTATCAAATCATATTTAGAAAACTCTTCCAAACATTACTTAAAATTTTCAAAAATTTAAGTCCGAAAAACAGGAACCAAACACAATCATTGTTTTTTTTTTTTTTGTCTTTGGTGAAAAGCTTTTCTCTTTACTGTCAACTGAAGGTTTTTCAAGGTTTTTCATCTGTAAGAGTGAAAAATTTTCAAGGTTTTTCTTTCTTCACTTCCCCTTCAATTATGTTGTTACCCTCTCTCTCTCTCTCTCTCTCTCTCTCTCTCTCTCTCTCTCTCTGTTTAACCTTGCTTACCTTTAAAAAAATATGTTCTTTCTTCACTTATGTTCTTTCTTCACTTCCACTTGACAATATTTCGCGACGTTTTTAAGAAAAATGCCACCATTTCTTTCATTTTTTTGAAAAAAAAAATGAAAAATCATAATTAATGATCTTTTGACTTTTGTTCAAACCAAACCTATATCATCCATCACCATTCTCAAAATATATACCATCAATCTCTCTGTAAATCTATAAACTCCAGGAAGTCTTCATTGCTGTTGCATCCACGACTCCTTAACCAGGGCTGGTGAGAGAGAACCATTTTAGAGAGAGAGAGAGAGAGAGATAGAGCCACTTGGAAATGTTTGAATAAATAGATATGGGTTAAGTCTCTGTGAAGTTAAACAGACTTGCCTCATTGAGACAATCAAAAGGGCATCCTATTAATTTAGGTGATATTACTCTTTGAAAAGCGTGTCTGCCATTAAGATGTATCACAACGTTTTTAAAAGCGCCTTGATGGAAGCGCCACCGTAAGCAATTTTTTTTGTAGTGTGGGTTGACTTTTTGGTTTTTTTGGCTACTTTAGTCTGGGCTAAAAAGCTTGGTTTGGGAATGACTTTTTAGCTTTTTGGTTCTTTTGATTTTTTTGGGGAGAGAAGAGTGTAAAGATTATGAATTGGATGTAATGTTTTGTTTATTGTAACTAAAATAACTTATTTTGTCTTTTGTGACTAAAATAGCCACAAAAGCTCTTCTCAAACGGAAGCTATCAATTATGTTATAACCTTTCCTAATCAAACATTAGTTTTTAATTATTATTATTATTTGTTTTTTTATTTATTATTATCCCCTTTTGATTTTGCAAAGTGTTCCTTTCCTATCATCATATCCTCTCTGTGTTAGGAAAACAAGAAAAAAAAAACTTTTCTATTCCCTTTCGATTTTAGAAAAGCTTTGCTATATCCTCCCGTGCTACTGTATTCCAACTCTGTGAACCACCAAAATCAGAAGTGAGAAATGGCCGTCGATTTTGTTCTTTCCATTGGAGCCAAGGTCGCTGAATATTTGGTTGAGCCAATCGCTCTCCAGTTTGGCTATGTAGTTTTTTACAAAAGCAACCTCGACAAACTCAGAGAAGAAGTCAATAAGCTGGAAGAGGAAGTGGTGCATTGCAACTATCAGTTGATGCAGCACGAAGAAATGGACGGATTGTTGGACCCGATGTTGAGAGGTGGCTGGAAAGGGTTAAAGAATGCAGCAGCAAGGCCAGTAAAATTCTGAAAAATGAAACTGAAGCAAACAAAGGGTGTCTTAATGGGTGGTGTCCAAACCTGAAGTCACGTCACTCCTTTGGCAGGAAAGCAACAAAGAAGACAGCAGAGGTGGCTAAGTTACATGGAGAGGGGAACTTTGCAACAGTGTCCTACCCTGCACCTCCACCAGGAATAGAATCTGAATCCACTAAAGGTATCAAGAGCTTTGAATCTAGAAGACGGATCATAAACGAAGTCATGCAAGCACTGAAGGATAATAGATTCCACATGATTGGGATATGTGAGATGGGAGGTGTTGGTAAGACAACAATGGTGAAAGAAGTTGCCAAAAGAGTGAAAAAAGAGATATTAAGTGGGGTGGGAGGTGCTGGTAAGACGCCGATGGTCAAGGAAGTGACCAAAAGTGTGAATAAAGAGCAATTGTTCGATGAGGTTGTCATAGCTGTAGTATCCCAAAGCCCTGACGAAAAGAAGATTCAAGCTGAAATTGCAGATAAGTTGGGTTTGAAATTTGAGGAAGAGAGTGTATCTAGGAGAGCAGATCGGCTACGTGAAAGTCTACCTAGCAAGAGAATCTTGGTCATATTGGATGATGTTTGGAAAAGACTTGAACTGATTGACATAGGAATTCCATATAGAGAAGGTCACAGCGGTTGTAAGATTTTGCTGACTTCGAGATTTGTCTATATCTGTGATGATATGGGTGTTGAAGAGAAATTTATAGTTGAAGCCTTAGACAAAGAAGAAGCATGGAATCTTTTCAAGGAGACGGCTGGAATTTCCAATGACACGAGTACTGAATTCTATGCCACACAGAAGGTAGTTGCAGATGAATGTGGAGGCTTGTTTGTTGCTATTAAGACAGTTGCAAGGGCACTCAAAGGTAAATGAGAGCATTCATGGGATTCTGCTCTTGTTCAATTACAGAGGTCCATCATCAAAAGCATCAGGGGAGTAGAAGAGAAGGTATTTAAATCTCTGGAGTTGAGTTACAATTCCTTATGAAATTCCTAAGTGATTCGTGATTAGATAAAAATTTAATTCCACAAAATCCCAATTATTCAAAACACACAATCTAAATCAACAAGTACTTACGAAAGTGGTTTAGATTGTTGTTTTCAAAAAGTAATAAATCGACACAAACAATTTTTACGTGGAAAAACCACAATTGAAGCACCTTCAACTGTGATAAAAAACCACGGGCAAAATGCCACTAAATCAATCCACTACTGAAGAAAGAAAGATTACAAAGACAACCAACAAATTACCAAACGCATCAAATTTGTCTTCAAGCTTCTGTAAATCTTTCGCCACAGCCTTCGTCTCGGAATTGATCAATATGAAGTTGAATCCACAACTTCTAATGTCGCATCAACGACCACGCTCAGTATCAAACTCCTTTGATGCTCTACGCGTGAATCTCCGGATTCCACCGAAGAAGAACACTCTTGAATATGAAGTAACAAACTCCTTGATGTATGTATCTTAGATCATAAGTTTAGAACTCACTCAAATCAACAAGGAAAACTCAACAAGACTTTTAGAAGAAAACCTCAAACAAAACCCTAAGACTCTTAAACAAGATCTAGGAATAGTAACCCTAAAATAGAACCAACATGCGAATATATAGACACAGAGATCGCGCGGTCCGCTCGAGCGTGGGAATTGACGCTCGAGCGGGGACTCTATATTGCTTGTTCTATACAGGGTTCACGCTCGAGCAGAAGATCCCACGCTCGAGCGTACAAACACAGTACTCAGTATTTTTTACAGACACGCGAAATACTGCGAGTGTGTAAACTCCGCTCAAGCGGCCCTTTCCCCGCTCGAGCGAGAAGAACAAAATTGGAAAATTACAAAACTGATTACAACCTTAGTTTTTTCCATGGAATTTGACAACAAGGGCCCTAACACCTTAGAAAGTAAGAAAGCCTAAAAAGTATTTTTGTTTTGTTCTTTATACCCAGAAGATTTTGATATTCCAATTGAAGATCTTGTTAGATATGGGATTGGGCTTGAATCGTTTGAAGACATTGCTACAGTGGGCGAAACAAGACAAAAAGTTCATGACTTTGTTGATGACCTTAAAAAATGCTATTTATTGATGGATAGTGAAGAAGAAGAGTATGTCAAAATGCATAATGTTATACGTGATGTGGCTATATCTATTGCATCTGGGGAGGAGCATTCGTTTATGGTGGGATATGACAAAGCATTGGAAGACTGGCCACAGCATCGCCTCAAAAATTACGTTGTAATTTCATTAAAACTTAATGGTATGCACGGGCTTCCTGGTAATTTAGAATTTCGAAAACTCCAGCTTCTAAAGCTAGATTGCAATGCTGATCTCGACAATGGGATGGAGGAAGTCCAAGTACAAGAGACCCCAGATTGTTTCTGCCAAGGGATGAAAGAACTCAGAGTGCTAGCTTTATCTAATTTGTATGGATCGTTGCTGACATCACTCCGATGCTTGACCAACCTCTGAACCTTGTCACTTTCTTGTTGCCAACTTCCTGATGATGATGTCTCTGTAATCGGAGCATTAGAGAATCTAGAAATGTTGAGTTTTGCTGGCTCTCGTATCAAGGAATTTCCAAAAGAAATAATAGGTCACCTTGGTCACTTGAAGGTACTTGATTTGTTGAATTGTACAGTGGCAAGGATTTACCCAGGGGTTTTGTCAAGCTTATCAATGCTAGAAGAGTTGTATGTTGGGAATAGCTTTCAAACAATGGATGGACTACAAGAAAGAATAGAAATGACTCATGCAATCATTGCTGAGGTGGCATCCTTGTCCCATTTGGTGGCTTTGGATATTGTATTATTTATCTTGCCAAAAGATTGGGTCATTGACAAGGTGAAAAGGTTCAATATAACAGTTTACCCATCATCTGGTTACAACGTGACTATAGCGACCCCGGTCTTTTCCCACTTGATTATTGTATCCGAACTTAGGTTCCGTAGATTCTGTCATTTTATAATTGTTGTTGTTGTCCCTTATTTTTCTCATTTGGAATTATAGGATGTGTTGGGCAGGTTTGTTTCAGGTTGGTTGGGTTTAGAAACCAAGTGTTGCTGTCCAGGTTTTTGGTTCTTCGCTCGAGCGAGGAGTTGTTCGCTCGAGCGAGTGGTTGCGTTTGATTTGGACCTGTAGCTGTGCATTCTTGGCTCGAGCGAGCTTTTCTTCGCTCGAGCGAGTTAGTTCATCCTTCGCTCGAGCTATAGTTCCTTCGCTCGAGCGTGTGTTTGGGTTCAGACCTGAGGGTTTGAGTTCTTCGCTCGATCGAGCTTTCTTTCGCTCGAGCGAGCATTTGAGTTGTTGGCTCGAGCAAGGCTTCCTTGGCTCGAGCGTAGTTTCTCTGTGTCTGGTAGCTCGAGCGACCAAGTCTTCGCTCGAGCGAGCCTGTCCAGTTTATATACACAGCAGCGGGATTTGATCAGTCTTTTTCATCTTATTTTGATTCCAAACCCTAGGTCCGACTTCTCTTTCTCTCTACTCACCTTCTCTCTTAGATTTGATGCACTTAGGGAGTGTTTCTACCCTAGATCCTTCATTAAAAAGATAGAGTGAGTTGAGGGCTTCCATTTAATCTGAATAGTTGGCGATTTGGAGCACTTTGGTATTTGGGGTATCATCTCTGTCTTCTCCTTTTGGGTTGTTTTCTTCGAGGTTGGGATTTCCTACTCCATTTTATAGGTTTTGCTCTAAGTTTTGGTATATTGATATGTTGGGTTTACTTTGGTAATTTTTGGGAAAACCCTGGTTGTAATATTAAATTAATTTGTATAATTAATTTAAGGGAATTGGGGAATATGGCTAAATTCATTGTATTGGAGAAATTATTGAGTAAATGGTGTAGTTGGTTAGTTTAATCAGTCACCTATGAAAATGTTGGAATTATGTTAGTTGATACATTTATTTCCTGTTTAGAAATAACTGTTGTGGGCTATCGGTGGAGGATAGTCGTGATTCTTGTAGACATTGCATGTGGATTAGGAATAACTGAAACTAATCACATTGGTTAAGTCATTAACTTTGACTATTGCATTGATACAGAAAATACGTGTATTGATTGAGCATTGCATGTGCATTTGCATTTATGTGTGGGAGGAGATAGGGGATGTACTCCACGGTTTAGGGGAAGATAGGGGATGGACCTCTAAACCGGATTTTAATTTTATATAAATATTTTATTTGGATTGCATCGTCCATTTAAAAGTTATTTGAACCACATAAAAGATATGGTTCCGAACAAACACTAAAATGTGTATCAATCTGGAAGTATGAAGTGTTTGATTTGAGCTTGAGTCTCATTTGTTTGTTGATATTGGAAGGATGTGAATATTATATATGTGATTCACTGTTGTAGGTTTGGCCAGGTTCTGAGCCATGTTGATAAAATTGGAAAGTAAAATGTATCTTAGACAATAGTGTCATGAGACTGTAAAATGAAGTAATTGATTATCTTGGTTAACCATCTGTTGAATGCTATTGCTTTATTCATTGCTTATATGTGGTTTAGTATATTTCTACTGGGCTGTGGCTCACCCTTTATGGGAACATCATTTTCAGGTTCAGGTGATAATTTACCTCCAAGGACTTAGCTTGGAAGGACTTGGACTTTGAAGACTATTTTTAGTTATTTGTTTTTCATTGTTGGTACATGTAAACACTCAGGCCTAGGGCTTTATTTATGTTTGAGTTAGAACTCATACTTTTGTGTCCAAGTATTGGCTTGGAAAGATGCAAGCCGGCAGGGCATTTATTTTGATGTTACATGTAATGCTTTTGTTTAGTAAGACTCTGATGGATATTATAATGAATTATTAAAGTGTTCATTTTAAATAATGCATGATAATGATATATATAATGGGTTATTTCTGAGGGCGTTACAAATATAGTCACGCCCTCAAAGTAACCCATTATATATATATCATTGACAAGCATTCTTTGTTTCAAATGAAGGAGGAGAGCATGAGATAGCAGCAGTGGCAACAGATAAAATTGAGTTTCCTAAACTAAAAATTTTGTGTCTATGGGGATTGCCAAGTTTTACAGCATTCTGCAAAGCCGTGAATGCAATTGAACTACCACAATTAGAGTATTTGTTTCTCCATGAAATATCAAAGCTCAGTAGTCTCTGCCCTGCTTCTGCTGTATAGAGTAATTGTGATGCCTACATTCAGCCGCTCTTTGACAACAAGGTATGATTTCTTTCTTTGATTTAAGAGCACCTCATATATTTCTTATTTTTAGTGGAACTTTTGGGTTATATAAACGTGTTTCCTTGATTTTTTGCATAAATGCATTTGTTGTATCAATATTTATATATATTGGATTGAATATGTTTAGATGTAAAAATAAGAATATGAAACTTAAACTGAAATTACTAGTATCCAGGAACAAATGGCCATTTTCATGTGTTGTATTTCTATTCACCAAAAAATTAGTTGAAGTTCGGATTATAATTTTGTGAACTTTGACAAAATTATTTAAAACATTAGGGTTGTATTTGGATAGAAGAATTTGAAATGAAGAAATTAGAGATTAAAATAATATGTATATATATGATGCTTGATTATTAATACTATATTAAAAAGCTTTGGCTATGTTTAGATCACTAATTTGGGTAGAATTTCTAGAGGAAAAAGAAAAAATGTGAATAAAATATAATTTTTTCCCCCTCACATTTCCCTCAACCCCACCCCCCTTCCTCCTTCCCCTTTTCTTCCTCTACATATTTCTACTCAAATATCCCATTTGATGGGACTTACGGCAAGGCTTGGTTTGGTTTAGTTATACTTCTACTCAAATCCATTATCCAACACCGTGTTTGAATCTTGGATTTAAATAGAAATTCGAAAAGGGAAAGGGAAATGGAGAAAAAAAATTAGTTTACTTTTCATTGACATTTTTCTCACATTTTCTCTTTCTCTTTCCAAATTCCTGCCAAAATTTATGATCTAAATACAGCCTAAAGGAGAGGTTGGAGTAGGGGTGGCAAAGATATTTTTACAAGGATCATTGTTTTACTAGAATTCTACCTTGTAGAATTTAAAGTCATTCTTACAAAACATTTAATGAAGGTTGTGTTTTTATTTATAGATTGAATTGAATGAATTTCAGTTCAAAGAATTGATAGTTTTTTATTTTATTTTTATTTTTATTTTTTTTATGGAACTTTGTTGTATTGTTCATTTCTCCCCTATTTATGATGATGTTTTTTAGGTTGTTTGGTTGTTGTGCTGATCGTTCTTTTTTATTATAAGAACTCTTTGTTAGCTTTTTGTTAGACTTCTATAGCTGTTCTCTCTCTCTCTCTATTGTAATTACTCTTCTACCAATTAAAAAAACAATGTTCAATTAGTTTACACTAATGTATGTTTGGAAGAGGAAAGATTGAATACACACATAACCTTTGGCATAATGCACAAAGTAATTGTCCCAAGACTTGAACCTATAACCTCAAGGTTATTAGGCCAAGGTTTTAACTATTGAATCAATGGTTAAAAAAGACAATTAAAATTAATGTTTGGGAAAGTGTTTGACTTGGTGGGATGAAAATTTTTAATCTTGGGATATCCTCTAATAATTTCATTTACACTTTTTTTGAATTTCCTGTTCTCTGTTCTAAAATTCATCTAACTCCAATTTTTTCAATCCCAAAATCCTAGGCCATTCTTCAATCTGTTTAAACCTCACAAGTACATATTTTAGACAAAAACAATTAAAAAATTAACCACAGATTGCTTTGTTTGATTTTTCAGGTGGTGTCCTTTATTACATGTACACACAAACAAATGCACAGTCGATTTTCAATTTGTTTTCTTGATCAGTCTTATGTCAACTTGATGACATTTGAGTTTAGTACGAATTTCTACCATCTAAATTTGAAATTCATATGGTTATTATCTAGTTTCTTAAAACACTTTTAAAACTTTAAGGAATGTATAGCTAAATTTAAATGTTCAATTTTTTTAAAAACTGTTTTAACTTTAATTATTCAACTTCAAAGTAATATTAATTTAATGGATGGCGTTAAATGAAAATAATGTTTGGCATTAACCTTGTGATTGGACTCTGCAGGTTAATTTGACTTCCCTTGAGAGCTTGTATGTCATTGCAATGGATAACCTGATAGAGATATGGCCTGGCGAACTTCAAGCTAAACTAAGAAGGATGACAGTTTAGATGTGTCATGGGTTGCCGAATATTCTTTTTCCGTCCAATTTGATGAAGGAAATGCAAAGTCTTGAAACACTTGGAGTGCAAGATTGCCAATCTGTGGAGGTAGCATTCGGTATTGAAGGACTACTTGTTAGGGAAGGCCATCAAGATATACTATTCCCTTCATTAATAGATGTGAGCCTTGGGCATCTACCAAAGTTGACACATGTTTGGAAAGACAATTTATCAGGAATTCAAGGCTTCGAGAACCTAACATCCCTAAACATAAAGGGTTGTGGCAGTTTGAGATATGTATT